AAAAAGTGCCGTATACCAGACCAATGATATCAGTATAATATTGTCGGTAACTCAATTTAGCACTTGTTCAGAAAACACTGAACTAAATACAAGAATTGCAAGTTCAGAAACTGGTCTGTGAACTTGTTATATAAATATGGTTTAAAATATTTATTAATTTCAATTATTATTTTTTTAAGTTAATATGTCTGCATACTGTTCTAAGCATGTATTTATTAGTTTCTCTTCTTTGCATGGACAATTACATCGCTCCTTGTATTAGTAGGGTATATAAAAATATTCCTCTATCCCACTTGCTTAACAATACCAGCCTTCTACAGATTGGGGTGTCTTCTAGATGGTTGATAAATATGGATTTCGGAATAGAAGAAAACTTTTGAGCAGACTAGGAGAAATACAGAATGGTCTTTTTATAGTTTTTACTTTGTATTATTTGATTTTTTTTTTTTAGTAGATACTTTTCTGAACCAGTTTTGATATCTTTCTGAAGTATTGCAACTTTGCTACTCGTATATGTTGAAATTATTGAAAGTAGTTGTATGTCACATAAAAATAAATACAAGAAATTAGTTATTTGTACAGAATTTTACAGTTTTGCATTTTGAAAGGTACAAGAATGCAAGTTTATCAACTAAAAAATTGTACAGTTTTGTACGCAGAAGTAGTAATTGGATGTTACAGTAAATAACACACACAAAAAACCAAAATAATCCAGAAAAATTTTAATGGAAACCTAACATTTTCAGCTACTTTAAGGGCACCGACATCCTCTCGTAGGCTTGGAGATCTTATTTTAAAGTCCCGTGAATGTTTTTTCTCACTTGTAAATGCCTTCAGTGACATTCACTGCTTTGTTTAATCAGACATACGTTTTAATTGTTTTTACGTCAGAATTGTTGTTTTCATTTTAGGACATTTGATAACTCTAGTTGAAAATGTCAGTTTTTTGTTAAGATTTTGCCAGATTATTTCAGTTTTTTTGAGTGTTATTTCTACAGTTCTTATTTTAAACCTGTTTGTTTCACTCGTTATGCATTTGTGAGCCGAAGGTGGTGAAAGATAACGGCCAAAAACGTTTGCTATTAAAATGGTGGTTTCCCAAATTAACCAGTCCATTTGCAACATTGTGCTAAGTTTCTTCTATTTTCAAATATCTACCAGCTGTCATTGAAATTAAAAATTAATAAGTTATTTTCTAGGATCACACAATAAATCCAGATTTACACGATTTGACGTTTTGTTCATCGGTAATTCACCTTGCCGTTTGGCTTAATTCTTTTGACGGGTTCTTACGTGAATACGCGAACCACAATTGTTGTTTCTAATTATTCAGAATTTGATATGAATAATTTATTAAGGATACGTGCATTTTATTAAATAAAAATACATATATTCAGAGGTCAAATACTTATTTTCTGTGTCATTTATTGTTTTCCTTTTTTTATACTTGGTTAATTGGGAAGCAACTACGGACGAGAAATTCAATACATTAAAGTATTTATGCAGTCTACACCAAAAATTTGCTAATAAGTAACAGAAAACAGTTGTCTATCGGCATTTGTTTCTTTTATGGCTAGAAAAACTTGCCAGAATTTTAAACATTGACTGATACCATCTTTAGGCTAGCTCAGTCGAATGCCAAATGCATGCACACACAAAGCAATAAATACTAATAAAACTTAGTTAAGTGGGCAGTGCGAGATTAAATTGTTACAGCACTTAGTTACAAATCAATGTTGTTGTCATTTCATCTTGTTACTTTATCTTTTATTACTTTCTATGTTTTCGAGCTGTCGTATCTAGAGAATCTAGTTATACGATGTCTCCAAAATAAGAGATCTTCGGAATGATTGTCTTGGTTTGTTTGGGATTAATTTGTTCAAAGACTAAACTGGAAGTCTGATTTCGAGTCATTGTTCTCGTCAATTTCAACTCCTGTTTTTGTGTATTTGGGAACTTTCTCTCGAGGAAAGTGGAGAACCCTTATCGACATCTTTCTTCAGTTTCAAAGACTGATTTCCTAAGCATTTTTAGTGATTGTAAAAGCCGTCACCAATACCAAAGTTTGGTCAATGCAAGGGACTAGTTTCAAAGGGATGGGTAGTGGCTATGAGGAATCTAATGGTACAGTTTAAAGTTGCTAAAGTGACAACCGTAGAGGTCAAAATTAGACTATTTGTTTTGTGCTTAATCTATGTAACATAAAAAATGAAAGTTTGCCTTTCTGTTCTTTATGCATTTGAAGACTGTACAAGGAAATGCAGTAAACTATCAAAAAGTTGGCCTTTCATTCAGAGAAAGTCAATAACCATTTCTTTTTTTCTTTGAAAGATATTCAGGTGCCTCCATTGAAGACAAGGGAACTATGTGCTCAAATGATGAAATTCTGGCATTCTGTAGTGTTTTTATGCCAGGTATCCCTCTCATACTATCTGACGTGCCCTTTCAATTATAATCTTTTAAGACTATAATTTCCTGTTCGGCTGAGTTTAGCTACGTTGATTAACATGTTTCAAGGACAAATCAAATATTAATCATTTCTGGCTTACAGCTGGAAGTGTCTTGCTTTTTCCTGGACAGCTATATACGGGATATTCAAGAATTTGAAGTCCGTATAATCCTTGTTCTTCCCGGACACAAAACATCGTTACTAAATATCTTGGTACGTACTATGCTAATTATGTATAAAGAATGTACTCTGCTGGAACCTTCTTAATACATTGATAAAGAATACTGAATTATTAGCCAATTGTTGTCTTTAACTGGTGTAAATCTGGAAACATAACATGGCAAATACAAGTTTTTTGATTGAGAGAGAGAGTATTTGCATAATACCTGATTTAAAATCAAATATCATACAAAGATCATAGGCCTAGTGATAGGTTGTCTGAGTCTTCTGATAATGATCAGATGGACAGAACAATGGATATTGTTTAGAGTAGGATTGGTGGCTGTCAGTGATGGATAGTCAAAAGAACAAAGTTCCGCATAGTTTGAATTCTATTACTAAGTTCACGTGACTTGACAATTGGATGGAGGATAGATTATGGGTGACCGATGATCAACAGTTGATCAAAGCCCCAATTTCTTGGATCCACCCTGCTCTTCTAGGTTCCTTCATACTGCATCTTTTCTCTCATTTTTATCAGTAAGTCTTATTCAATGTTACATCCCGTAAGTGTCCAAATTTGGGAAGATATTTTTCTTTCTTCAACGGCAATTCTTACTACTAGCATATGTCACGCACGGAAGTGTTGTGATGGATGTTGTGAACAGGAATAGTTTAGTTTAGTTTAAATTTAAAGTCGAAAACAAATTATAACAGTGAATAAAATATTTCGAACCCCCACAGAAAAATGTTTGTACAAAATAAAATATTTTCGTTATTAATGGAAAAAGTTATACAGATTTGATGTCAACGATTCGTCGCTTCTTGCTCGACATTGTTTTCGATCCAGTCAACTGTCTCGAAAGCATCTTTTGCTGTCTTATGCAAAATGTTAAAATTTTGAATTTTATCGTGCAGTTGGGAGGTGTAATTCTATACAATGTCAATCTTCAACTTTGCGATAATATTGCCCATCCCTTCAAAAACAAACGATAGGATACAAAATTAGACATAGAATAGTCTCCGGATCTTAAATTTCAAGTTAAGTAGTTTCGAAGTCACATTTTACTAATTCCTACAGACTTGTCGAATTCTGTGTTTCTATGTGAAAAATATAGTTAGTCGGCGAGAATTTCCAGTTAAGGAAGTTCAACTTGCCGAGAATTTATCGTATTCAATATCATATCCTTGGAAGTGAATTCCCAAGGCCGTGTGAAATTATCGAGTAACAAAAACAAAAGTCAGATTAGTTTTCGTCATTTTTCCTGTCCTACATTTGTTACCAGATTGCATTTTTTGAGCAATACGAAGTTTATCCTTTAGTCTGTACTGTGTAATTATCAATCAAATGTGAATAAAAAATGTTGAATGAGGAAGGTAATCTTGTATATGTAAAAATAGTTTTGGTTAGTACATAATTAAAAATTACATGCCTCAATTTATATAAAATTAATAATAATAATAATAATTGAATCATTGTGACAATGCCACAATAATGTTGGGCTGCAATTTTTAATTAAATCTTAATTTTAAAAAACCACACGACTTCCGGTTCAGACCAGAAGTTCATACATAGTTAAGTGGTCCTCTGGTCACTAAACTTTCCGTATTTGGTCTGGATTTTCATCTATCTAACTCTGTTCTCGAGATTAAAGAATGACGGACGGACACTGGTGGGATTCGTAGGTCTGCAATTTGAAGATTGCAGCCCAATGAAGGAGCAATATATTTTTTACTCCGACATGTGGTATTTTTAATATAAAGGAAAATATCTGTGTATATTCTGATAGTATATTTTACGCAAATTATAAAATTATACGATAGTCAAATTGAAAGATTATCATGCTTGAAAGTTAGCAAAACTTTCCTTTTATTCTGAAGCTATTGTATTAAATTTCTAGGAAAATTAACAAGATTTTTTTTCTATAATAATCTTTTAATGGTTTATTGATTTTTGCTCATTTGCAAGCATAAGTTGTTTTTACATTTTCTTTAAAACTTCCTCCTCCAAATTTTTTAAAATAAAAACTTTATCTTTATTCATTAATTAAATGTTAAGTAAATGCCTTTATGTTTTGAAGGTTTTTAAATAATAATTCTATGATTACCATTGCCTGTTTTGGGGGTCTTTCAAAACTAATGAGAAAGGAACCCGTCGTATCCCTTCTCTCGTCGTTTGGCCATCCAAACGCAGACCCGGCCAAACATAGGACACAGTAAATGCTCCCTTATTGCCTGCAGAATGGAGAGTAAAAAGTAAATAAAACATTACACTCCACGAAATATAATTTGTAATCCAGAGAAGGTATTTTGGTTCGAGCAAATCGGAAATTTTGCCGAGCGAAAAATTTTAACGTGTTAAATTTGTAAGTTTTATAAATTTTCGACTGTTTATTTGACGATTTTCTCTTATTTTTCTAGGCCTTGATCAACATGGCTTACTGTTGCCTGATATTAATAGGAAAATTCATTCAGAAATTAGTATTTGGCGAGCTGAGAGTTTCCGAACAACAGGTGAGTCACGCGTTCAGTCGTCATTGAGAATTTCTTCAGTTACGTGTTATTAAATTTAAAATTTTAATTTGTAAGGCCCTGTAATTAGATATCTAGTATAAAGTAACCTTGCCTGTCATTCAGAAAAATGAGATAATAGAAAAAAATTCTTGGCATAGTCTTGCAGTTTTAATTATTATTTTTTAATGACTGTATACTCTTGACAATTTTCTGATTTTTCTTGAATGTTTCTTTAAAGCAGTTTGTTTGTCAAGTTGCCGAATTAAAAAAAAAATTGACTCTCGACAACGACCTTGTGTCCTTTCGGTAGCATTGAACACGATGGGCAACTTTCTCTCGAAATTGCTGCTTGTTGATCGTGGAGAAAGGCTAGATACGATACCTTTTCATTAGATTCTGGCAAAGCATACAGTGCAGTTAGCCAATTTTAGAGTTTCTAAGAAAACGCGACGGCATATTTTTTTAAGTTTGCGCTCGTGTAATGGGAATAATTATCTAGAAAGCGATCGACACGAGCCGAAGACTTCGGGCGATTATTTTTAAAGAAGTGAACTTGAAAATATTATTATTATTATTAGAATAAATTTTAAAAAATTGATTGAGAGAAAAGGATATACTTAACTGGATATAAAAGCATAATAAAAAATTAAGATAAATTGAAATTTATACAATAAAAAAATAAAAAAACATTCTAGCAACAAGTTGTGAGACTCTCCTGGCAAAAAAATTAAAATTGTGTGTGGTGCCATCTGTTAAGAGATTTTATTTTAAAAACTTTTTATATTATTGATTATTATAAAATGACAGAAAAAAGTAATTTTGAGGGTACAGACAGGTTTTATAAAATTTGTAAATGATAATAACAAGTAAACATTAAGTCTTATTCCACTCAAGATACGACACGTGACTCCTCTATCCCCTCACCCCTCGACCTTTAACCACTAAAACGGTAGCATCGATGCCCCAAATGCACAAACACCTCCCCGTAAAATTTCAGAAATTTTCGACTAAAGGCACGGACGTTATTAAGCTTCAAAGTAGGCGAACAGAATATGTCTCCTCATATACTAACATCCATACATACAGAAAAAACCCTAGCATTTTTTGACATTTTGACGTCCCAAGCATAAAAAATGTGAAAGGACAGGACTTAAGATAAAATTCAATTTTTGAAAAGGTTATTTATTTCTTGTTACGAACACAAAATGGCATTGAAAATGATTATCTAAACATCACAATTACTCGATAAACAAACAAAAAAGTATTAAATCTTGACAATAAAACTACCAGAAAATAAATTTAACATGTAATAAATGTCTTAGATTATCCATTTGTTTAATTGTTCGAGTTTAATTAGTGTACAATGTCCTTGTCCATTGTTTTTGGTCAGTTATTAATTTGCGTTTAGTTTTCTTAAATAAAAAAGACACTCGTTTTAAAGAATTCGCTATACTGGGTGTTTCAAAAGGAACTTTACAACTTCAAAAGTGTGTAGAATTTTAATCGGAAGACTTACTGATTCAGTCGTTGCTAATTTATAGTGAAATATATCAAGTTGTACCTCAAATGGTAATTTTGGTTTAATACCAGTGTCACATGGCAGATGGCCCATCTGAATTCGGTTCCTTGCCAAATTCAAAGCAGTGTATCTGTCATCACTTTGTTATAGCAGTGGTGGTTAGAGTTTTGAGCTTGGCAAGATTTGCCTGTGAGGGTGGAATAAATGTTAGATTTTTAATGAGACTCCAGAAAAAATATTGAGTTGTGTCAAATCTGGGGAATAAGGTGACCGAGTTTGCCCATACCTGCTCGATTCAGTCAATCCACCTGGAAAACATTTCAGAAAACCCCGGACGTCTATATGGTAATGAGGTGGTGCACCATCTTGCTGAAATTGCATGCATATTTTTGCGTCATTGTTGTTTAACTGTGGAGCGACAGAATTTTCCAGCATATCCAGAATGGTTTCCTCATGGATAAACATGCTGTACACTTTGTGTTTCATGCTTTTGACGAAGATATATACTTTCGAATTATCACGATATGTTCCAATCCACAGTTGTGGGTGTTCACTTTACTGTTGAAATGAAATGTCAACTCATCACTGAAGATAATGTGGTCCAGAAATGATTTGTTTTTCTCAATCCATTGCAATATTTCTTCGCAGAATTCCCAGAGAGTCAACTTATCCGCATCAGTAACGTTTTATGGCACTGCATTTAAAATCATACAAGTTTGCAAACATTTTTCTAAGACTTGTCAAATTGTAAAATGCCAGTTTCACAATACTCCTATTATGTTGATTCCTTTGGACTACAAATGCTAGCTTATCCTTACTTGTTCCAGAACAGAATCAAAAACATAGCAATCAAGGGATTTTGTTGCGTAAGTTTCTGCTTGAAGGATCTGTACAATAGCAGTTGCGAAATTTCCATTGGTTTGTTGTTGTAAGTCTTGCAATTAAAATTCTACATGCTTTTAAAGTTGCAAAGTCCTTTTTGAATCACCCTATACATTGATATTACATAGAATATTTTGAATAAAATATCTATCAATAACTAATTATTTTACTTTAAATTTCAGCACATCAAAGATAAATTCTGGAATTTTGTCTTTTACAAGTTTATTTTTATTTTTGGAGTCATGAATGTCCAGTATATCGAAGAAGTCGTGCTGTGGTGCAGTTGGTTTTCGTTTCTGGGTTTCCTGCATCTGCTCGCTCAGTTATGTAAAGACAGATTTGAATATGTAAGAAAATGCTTCTTAACTGTTTTATAATTATCCTAATTTATTCTAAACTCATACTTCTAAATTTCCAGTTATCGTTCTCGCCGACCACTCCGAAAGGAACGCACGTTCGACTTTTGATACTTCTCTGCACCATCCTTACCCTAGCTTTTATCATGGTCGGCATAAGTATCTACGTTGGCTATCACGTCGGTCTAAACACCTTTTCATTCATGATAGCTGAGGTAAAGGAATTAAATCAATTACGTTACTCAATTTATATTTTATTCTTAATAAAATAATTCGTTTTTTTCTTTTTTTAGTGTCTTTTGGTCACGTTAAGGACATTATCAGTAGTTGTCAGGTAATTATTTTATTTAATTATTCTGTTTTCAATTATGTAATTTTGTTTAGATGACGACGACTGTAACGATGATATTTTCATTTAGATACGGCATTCATCTATGGGACATCAGTCAAGATGGCTCCTGGGACAAAAGAGCAACTTATATTTATTATTCGGAGTTGATTTTCGAAATGACTGTGCTCGTGTTAGATTTTATTCATCATTTTCATATGCTGGTAAATTTACTTTTATTGAATTCCTTAAAATTATTATAAGAAATTTGCTACAAAATTAACTATTTGAGATTATTTCAATACACAAATCTTTAACAAATTCATAAATAAATTTAACTTATCATTTTGAAAGTGCTACATTGTTTTTGAATAAATATAAGTTACAAAAATTAAGTTTATTTTGACCAAATTAGAAACATCTAAATTTAATTTAGTGTAAGACAAATTTCTTTTTTTACTCTTGGATATACAAAATCATCATATAATTGAATGATCTTAACTCTGAGATTATATATAAGATTATCTTTAATCGAGTTTATGTAAATAAAAAATATAAGCGATATGAATTGAAACAGATTTAAATTTTATGAAAAACAATTTACACGTATAATTTGAAATACAGTAAACTCCGGTAACTCGGAGTAATAGGGGGGCAAAGGATGTCCGAGTTAGCGGGTCGTTTAATCCAGAGACGCGGGAAACAAGAATGGAGATATACAGCATAGTAATTTATTACAATCCACTCTATACAGAAGTTTGTGTGGAGATTATACTGTCAAATTTATTATTACAGAAAGTGAGCCGAAAACATTTTGTAACAGTACAATAACTATGACTACAGCGATATAATGCACAGTATTGCAAATAATTGCAAAAATGAAAGAGCATTTTTAAAGTTTTGAGCAGTAAAAGATACATAATAATTGGTACATATTTACTTCTTCAGCTGTGGGGAAACATCTTTCTGTCAATGGCTAGTTTGGTAATATTGATGCAGTTACGTTATCTGTTCTACGAGATACGCCACCGCCTAAGGAAGTACAAAAATTATCTGAAGATTGTCAGGCACATGGAAACCACGTAAGTTTGTCTTTTTATCGCACGGAATAAGTAGACTTTTGATTTTATTACAAGTAATTATTTAACACCGTACTCGTAATTTCTAGTTTTCAATAGTTATTATTTTATCTAACCATTTTAAACATTTCATGTCTTTTCAAATTGTTCAACGATTAATCATATTAATTCTGTAAAGAATTAAAATCCCCAAATTCCTCCCCCATATTGGAAAATTGAGGAAATGTCATTTGTTGCTCATTTTTCTAAGGATTTTGTTGTTTTCTTTATAGTGGTTTGGTATCCTTTTGGAATTGAATGCAATACAATTAGAGGTTTGCCAATTCACTCCACATAATTAGTTATTATTTATCGAAACCAACCATATTTTATTTCCGAATTTAAATAATTTGACACAATTCACTCCTAGGAACATGTAGCTGCAAATGTCAACTAAGTATTCTAATAAACATGTTTTACTGTACACCTTACCTGTAATTCTTCTTGTACTTATAGCAACCGAGCGACATTTGTAACTATAAGTACAAGAAGAATTACAGGTAAGGTGTACATGTTTATTAGGTGCAAGTGTCAATAGAGTATTCTGTATGTTCCTAGGTAAAAATGGTGTTTTTGCATTCTTGACCTACCTTTAAACTTTGTCTAAGATGGAATGCAAACTGGCAGGCTGCATATGGCCTGTTAAGACTTCATATCCAGCCTGCAGCCTAGATTTGTTTTCTAAAAATCAATGTGTTTAGATATTTTAATCCCCACAAGATGTTAACTGTTTATGTAAGTCATAAAAGCCTGACAACAAAAGGGCCTTTGTTAAAACTTTTCTTTTAATTACACTATCTTTTGGTTTACCAAATAATATTGAACATCGCCTGTATACATGTATTTGAGTTTGAGATCCTTGGTCTAAGACTATTTGAATCACCCTATATCAGTAAAAACATAACACAAACATCTGTTTTAACTATTTTAAACATTTGTTATCATCATTTATACAAGGTTTTCCTGTAAATTAAAAATAGAATTGTCAACTTATAATTATTATTAATTGTAAAATTACATGTTGAGGATGAGCCAAGTTCTTCAAAAATAACTACATTTTTTCCTTCCTATATCCAGAAAATGAACCTTTTCGGTAATTATTGATCCTCGTGATAACGGATGGAAACATTTTGCAAATTATTAATGGAAAAATACTATACGTAATTAAGAAGTATCCAACTTTGACTCATTTGCGTGTTTAAAATAAAGTCGACTGACTAATTCTCGACCTTGTATTGCGAATGGAAAGTTGATAAAGTTTTTGTAGACTAAATTAGGTAATTTATTAAAATATCAGAAAGGAAACAAAGTGAACATTTTCACAGTTTATTAGTCAACTTTCGATTAAAATATTAATTTTAACACCAAGACCAAGAATTAAATATACAAATAAGCAGTCACTTGGGCATTGCCTAAGTAATTGAGTCTGTGGACAACATTGAAACATTTCTACAATATTTTATTTTCTAAGTAAGGAATATAAGACTATTTTACAGATTAAATTAATTAATTTTCAGTTAGGAGAGAAAAAGTTAGGATTTTATAATTCCTTGACAAAGCAGTTTAGGTGTGACATGTATGAAATAAACTAGACAAACCACTATATTACTTTTACAGGGTTAAGGTAAACTTGGCCAATTATTTTTTTTATTGTTGCAAAATGTTACCTTGACATTAACAATGGCCTGTAAATGATTAAACGTTCCAAATTTTAATTAAGAAATTAGTTGTACATCTACTTTTATCAATAGTTTGCCATTTATGTTGCATGCAATTCAATTCTTCTTATTGTATCCTATTTGGCTATCACCTAGTTCTGCCAAAGCTGGAATTATTAAGAAAATGACTTACAAATAGCCTTGCACACCTTCCTGGCTGTATGTTTGTAGTGTAAAATTTGGTATACAATTCAAACATTTTGGCTTTGTTTAGGGCCTGTGCCAATAAAAATCGACAGCAAGTTGCTGTCGATTTTTGTTGGCGTAGGCCATAGCCCTAAACGGCTGTTTGTTCCAACTTTACAACATTGTATTTAAAACATAAAATCAATAGCAAGCAGAGAATTCTCATCGATGTAAGCCCAATATGGTCCCAAAAACATTTGCTTAGTGCACAATTTGATATGCAATTAAAACACTATTACGCAGCTAGAAAATTATCCAAGGTTGTTTTGAAAGCCATTTTCTATTCAGATATGCAAATATGTTGAATGTGTTTTAGATTTTAAAATTTCTGTCATATTTTATGAACTGTACATCATAAATGTTTAATGCAAAAATTTTTGAAAGTGAATATATTAATTAATTAAAGTATAAATTGGTTTTTGCCAATAGCCATGGACCAGTTGGGCATGGATGTATTGGTATTCTAGTCAAATATAAAGAAACTGTTGTAAGACATGGTGGATGTTGGTCTTCCACTTCCTAATCTGTGCCAAAGAGACTTCTGTGGAGTCGGTGTCGAAGCATTGGCTTGTTTTGCACTGTTCTCCTAGTATGTATGTCCTTGACAATCTGCTGCAAGGCTGTTGTGTATGCTTTCCCTCAATTTGGCAACAAGCTTATCAACATTACTGTGCACAATTCATCCATAGTGTGGATGGAGCCTATTGAATTCACGGATGTTTCTTGGTGACTGTGGGCTACCACCGTCAAAGTAACTCTAATTCATTCCTCGGTACGGGGAAACCATGTCACTGATTACGACGAAGAACAGTAATGTGAGACTCTCTCAAGGATCCAGATTTATGGTCACCCTGTATGCAAATTTATACATTATTGGCCAGACAGATAAACCTTGGTTTAAAGACGGTAGTGCCTCAAACTATATCTGTACTGTATATTAATGAGGATGGTGTATATATGAAATTTGTTAAATAAGCTTGTCAACATATATTGTGTAAATTAATAAGTAAATTCTATTTGCAGTTATCCTCTTGCCAGTGCAAACGAATTAGAAGAAAATAGTGACGACTGCGCCATCTGTTGGGATCGCATGGACCTGGCCCGAAAGCTTCCTTGCGGACACTTATTTCACAAGTAATACTAACATATAGAATGGCTCTAAATTTTTAATTTAAAATCTTGCTAACATATATATTTATGATCACTTGTATGCAGTAACTAATATCAGAAAATGCCAAGAGCAAGTTTACATTATTCTTAATTGAATATTACAGTTCCTGTCTCAGATCATGGTTGGAACAAGACATATCGTGTCCCACGTGTAGAAAATCTCTGACCGAAGCAGATTCTCATTCGATGGAACTCTCCGATTCCGTGTTGGCGTTGGACGATGATTTGAATCGATCCTCCACTCGAATTTTCCATTTTGGTAAGTTTAATTTTCATCGCCGTTCGGTCTTTCTTCCTTCTCTTTACAAACATAATAATTTCTTTTTTGTAGGAACTAGGCACAGGTGGTGGCCTGGCTTTACGGTCGAAGTGACCAACACAAACGTAATTCGTAACCGAGAAAATTCCGAAAGCAGCAATGTAGAAAATATGGTAATTATGGCCATTTTTTATATCTATAAGAGAAGGATTCTGCCAACGATACTTAAATGTTTTATTCCGAATTTAGGCTAAAGAAATACAAAAGTTGTTTCCAGACATGCTGCTATGTCAGATTTCTGAAGATTTAAGGAAAACGCATTCCATGGAATTAACTATAGAAAACATATTGGACGGAAAGATAACCGAACCCAAGGTAAGTTACAACGAAAAGAATATATTTTAAATTATTACATTTTGACTAATGTTAACGATTAATCTGTAGAACAATCCAGCAGAAAACAGAACGTCTGAAGGAAAACCGCCGGAGAGACTCTCCATTTCCGACGAAGCCTCCCTTCCTTCAAAAGTCGTCCAGAACAAAATGTAATACATTTCTCTGATCTAAAATAGTAACAAACTTTACGGTGTAAAACAAGTGAAAAATTCCGTATGCTCAAATTCCCCTCATTCAAGTGTGATATCTTTTAATCCCAGAATTTGTATGTAAATTACTATTGCAAAGTATTGGATTTATCTTCTTCCCACATAACCATAAATGCATTGGGAATTTAGTGGGAAAGGAGCTAAGATCGTGTTTTTCTGTTCCCTTTCTAATGTTTGTTAGAAGGAATTACAAAATTAATTTTGAAGTGAGGAGGAGAGAGTGGAGCTATGTAAGTATTCTTGTGATTGCTTTCATTCGTTTGCTCCCTTCTCCTTCATATGGGACATTATTATTATATACTAAAAAATTTTATGCTACAGTACTGACCGAGCAAAGAAAAATGCACTTCTATTTAAATTTACCATTGTTTCCACTTTACAAATAAGTGCATTTCAATAATGAAGATCTAGCCTTACCCAAATAGATGCAGCAATGGGTCAAAATGCCCATTGGTGGAAAAAAGTGTGTGTAAAAAAAATTTATTACTTGCTTTGGTATATCTAACTTGCCGGACACTACTGTTTCTCACTTGATACCGTAACAAAATCTATATTTTAAATACAGAAAGAATTAACAAAATTTTAATTTTAAAGGGAGGAGAATCTGGCTCTTCCGTCTTCCAGCGGCCTGGGTTGGAGATTTTCTAAGTTACCCGAAGAGAGGGAAGTGATTCTTAGTCAGAAGAAGGACGAAATGATAGAGTCTGCTCGAAGGTTAGCCAGTTAAATTTTGTAATTAGGCTCTTCAAATTGGCTTTGTATTTGCTTAAGAGACACTGTACGAGTATTGTTCCTTTTTTTTTTTCCAGGAAATATTTGAATAAATTGGCAGTGGCAAATTCCACGAGCGAAAAAATGGCACTGATCGACCTGGAAGAGAGAGTCAATCGAAGACGGAGATCGAGAAATATACTCTGCTCGCTGATTCTGAGAATCAGGGAGATGTGATGGCCGTCGGAACTCTCGCCAATCCGCCTCGTCTTCCGCCTCCGCCGGCCAGAAGAGACCCGTCGGCCGTCGCCTCCCGAAACGGTGCCATCGTAGTGGGACTTTCCGAGAACTTGTTCGCACGGCAGCATTCCGCCGAGAAATCCAGACACCCGACCGTATTTAAAACTCCCCAAAAAAACTGTGATATAGATGCTAAAGTGACAAATCGGACCGTGGGCGTTGTGTGTCGTTTTTAAGCAAAATTGGTCGTCGTCTCGTGTCGTTGTTGTCAAATTGTCGACTTCCACGCCGCTTTACGAAAATAAAAGTTTTATTATTTTAACAATGTGTGAATTTTTGTATGCATTAACAATCCGGTAAAAGATCTCAATCTCAATTATCCTATAGCCACTAAAATGAAAAGATGATGGCAAACTGGAACAATAAGTCTTTTTTAGGGACATGACGACAGTGCACGATCACCATTTGTTAGGAATAAGCCTCTTTTGAATAATCTCAGTAAAAATGTGAGAAAGAACGGTAGTTGCAATTGTAGTAGTGTAATACGTAAGGGGGAATAAATCTGGACTTAAAGTAAGTGGTTTGTAATTCTGAAATTATGTGGCTAACTTGAGAGAGAAAAATACCAGATGACACTTAAACTCATCCTTTAGACCTCTTACCAATGAATAATCCATAATATCAATATACTTATGGATCATTATTTTATATCACTAGGTCCCTAAGTCTAAGTAATTCATTTTCAAAAATTTTAGGGTTGCATTTTACCCCAAAAAGTTTTAAGGTAAAAAGCCACGGAAATAAAATAATCAACATAACCGGTTAGCAATCTACTTTGACAATTCCTCATAAATTACATTCATTTTTTGTATGGTATAAAAGATATCCAGGATTATTGGTAACTGCCATTGTTTAAGCACTGTATTTCTTAAGTGGTTTACTCCTTCCCTAGAGGTTATCAGAAGAATAATTGTCTAGGAACAACCAATCCAAAGAGCATAACCTTGGAGATCGGCTCCAATTAATACAATGCCATAAAGCATGGAAATAGTACGTCCTCTGGGTTTGCCAATTGTGTCGGGGAACAATCCGAAGAAGAGCCACCGTTGAAAATGCTAGACTGAGACCTGCATTTCTACGAGTCAGGAAATAAAACTCCATTTCAAATTAAAAGGTTAATAGTTCTGCCAGAACAGTTTTATTAATTATAAGGTACAAAAACTAGAATGACCATTGGGCCATTATACCAGGTAGCCCCAGGAGATGAGCTCAAAAGCACTCTGGCATTAATGAACTAACCATTTTCTTGGGTCTGTTCTCTGGGCCAAACTCTCGTCTATCTTCCTTCCCGAGTATCCCCTTCGATGAGATAACTATTATTTCTGATTCCATTATCGCCAACACACTTGGTGCTGCCTCTGTTTTGGTCGTGTTGGAGAAGTTAGCACAGTGCTCACCCACGAGGTATCGTGTGTAGTCTCTTTTGCATTTGAAATAGTAAGACTAATTGTGAAGTGATACACTGAACGGCCCGATGAGTCCAGGAAGAAAATATAAGCTCCTTCCTTACAGCCTTGCAGGCTAATATTATGCTATAATTAATTATTAGAAACTAAGTAATTTGGTACTAGAAATAGATGTTAGGTGCCATCTATCTAAATTAACAATTATAATAATTGCTTTTTTTGAAACTATGTCGTCTTTGTTAGTCTTTACCACACAACTAGGTGCATTATCTACTATAAAAAAAATTAGCTCAGCTACAGAGCCAAATAACGATAGTGATATTAGCATTCAAGAAATTAAAATCTACTCTTTCTTTTGTAGATTTAGATACGTCTCTTCTAGAGAATGTTGGAGAATTGGCTCCAAAAAATGACGAATTGGTTAAAAAATTATAAAACAGTTTCCTCGAGAGAACAGGGGCGGACGATTCGGCTACTAAACTATTGCAGAATTTAACCGAAGTTCAACACGAATGGTTAAGTGCAGAACCTCCACCTCATTTGGCAAACATACAGGGGGATCCTTCTGCAGACGAACAAGAGCTAGCCACCTAGGTGGACATTTTTTATAATTTTTAAGTGTATAGGAATAAGATTAAAGAAAATCCAGTAGTGCTGTAAGTCGTGGTAATTTTGACACACTTTTAAAAATATATATATATATATACACTGTATAATAGTTTGCACCACTGTGCTAAATGTCTATAAGATAAAGGTATGCTTGTAAATGACTTTTATAGTAAATTTGTAATACGATCAATATATGTTCAAGTTACATTCTGTAGCCGACAGACAGGCATATGCTCGAAACGTATCGGCATCTAAGATATTGCAGAATAAAGAGATGTAAAAAAGCCTAGTGTCTACCCGTGCACCTAGTTGTGTAAAGACTAACAAATAAAAGGCGGCACTGTTTCGGAATAAGCAACGACAATTACCAGTAAACACGGAAATAACAGTTTTCATCCAAAAAAAGAGGAATTATAGCAAATGCAGTACTTAATAGAGATGTAGAGGCCATAAATCACAAAACTGAAGTGGAAATTACAGATGAAATTACAAGAATTCTTCACAACGATCTAGATTTTAATGGTCCAAACCGATGGGATGCATTGGACGTAATACCACAACTAGATAATAGTATAAAATTACCAGAAAGAGAATTAAACAATACGAGAATAGAAATTAGTACTGTTTAGAAAAATACATATGATTTTTCCCTAATCTTTTTCCTTCCTTTTATAAAATGTTAGAATAAAATTAAAAATTACAAACCTTTTTAAAAGAAAATGATACAGAATGTATCATTTTCTTTTATCAAGGCAGACGAATCAAAACAAATCGTTACGGTTTATAAATGACGGGTTCGAACCAAAAAATCCGAAATAGTCAATAGTAATAAATTTGAGGAATTACCTGTACATCCAAAAGAAGTTATTTATACGGAACTTAAAAATATGACCGATAAGCCATTCGAGACGAATACGATAAAAAAAGAAGAAAAATGGTTCATTAGAAGATGTAAACGGCAGAACCCCAAAACCGAACGTACTTTGTCTCCTCGTTTACGCATTTTTACTTGTAAGACCTATTGTTGATTTTAAATATTCTGTTTTATACAATTTAGAAAAATTCTCGAAACAAAAATTGCAAAAATACAGAAATTCTATACACAGTAATACCCAAAGTTATGTAACACGCGACTTACGTAAATGCGCAGTTGTGTAAAATGCAAATCTCAAAAACTGGAAAAAAGTCCGAGTAGAATAACTTGTAACTCCACAAAGAATTATTCTATTTCAAATATTCATTCATTCCCTCCCTTTCTTTCTTTTGCAGTGTACCGATTTATTACTTTATCGTTCTGCTAATCCTTTACTTTTCAATCTAATTGTAAGCACGTACGCAAATGTACCGGGCACTCTTTCTCATAAACAATTCTTTTATACAAAAAACTAATAAATAATATATTTACAGTATAGTACACGTATAATAATAATTAGTATTGAGTTATTACTTACGTAGTTACACTTATATAATTTAAAAATTTGACTTACGTAATGGTCTAAGGTCCGCATTACTTACGTAACTCGGGGTATTACCATATATAATTAAAAATGCAGACGAACTCATAAAAGAAATGAAAGATATGATGCGGAATAAGCACGGGGTCGATCGAAGGACCAAAGTCGATAGAGCTCGTCATAATAAACATAGATCAAAAAATCAATGATATTGAGGGTATAAAAGTTTATAAAAGATATATTGACGACATAATTATATTATATGAATAATAAAAATAGAAGAAATAGAAAACAAAATAAATAAAATAAACTATCTTGATATAGCAATAAAAAGGAAAAAACACAAGTTGTTTTTTTCTATGGTTTAAATCAGTGTTTCTCAACGGGGGCGATATCGCCCCCATGTGGGCGTTTTTCCTTGTTGAGGGGGCGATTAGTAACAATTTACATTTTCAGGGCGATATAGTAAAACATTATATTAAGAATAATTAGATATTTTATTCGTTATATCGTACAATAATTAAACAAATAACATTATACTAGTCACTAGTTTATTCAATGCAGTACGACTTTGGCGTTAGAATTGGTCCTTGGCATCGGAATTTTAAAGTGAAGGGGGCGATAATAGGTAATGGTTTTATTGAAGGGGGTGATACTACGTTGAAGGGGGCGACGATTCATTAGAGGTTGAGAAACACTGGTTTAAATTCTAAGTGTAATTTAAAAAGTTATAAATTATAATTCAAATACTCCATTGTATATAAAAGAAAACATACTTAGCATAGAATATAAAAAAAGACAAACAGAACAAGTACAAACCAGAACAAAAATAAAAGAATTAAAAGAGAAATTCAGACTAAATGGCTACCCTAACAATAGTACAAAAATGGAAGAGAGAAACTAATAGTAGAAAACAACAAAATAAAGAGGTCAATTTAAAATACATGGCTTTCCTTTATATCAAAGGATTTTTTGAAGAAATAAATAGAAACTTTAAATATAAAACTGGCCCCAACTTACAAAAAAACTGCAAAAGAGAATACAAGAAAGCAAATTCAGAAGATATACAGAACAACAAATGCAGTTTACTCTACCGTGTACTTGTGAAAACTCAAAAGGAAAGTGGGCGTAAGGTTAAAAGAACAGTTATCAATTTGAAAAATAGAAGGACAAACTCAATTTTTTTACAACCATCGTACAATAAATAACTCTAGTATTGACAAAGAAAAAGTAAACATTTTTTGTAATTTTTAAGTTTGTAAGAACGAGATTAACTTAAAGAAAAACCGGTAAAAAACTGGTAGTACAGGCAAATGTCGAGTGCTGTTTAGTGAACTAACTCGTGACAATTTTAACGGTGTATATATGTATGTTTTTAAAAGTGTGTATAATAGTTTGCACCACTACACTAAATGTCTATAAGATAAAGGTATGTTTGTAAATTACTATTATAGTAAATTTGTAATATGACTGATATAAGTTCAAATTCCATTCTGTAGGAGCGTATGCCCAAAAGGCGTATCGGTGTCTAAGATATTACAGAATAAAGAGTGATGTAAAAAAAGCCTAGTGTTGACCTGTACACCTAAGTTGTGTGGTAAAGACTAACAATTATAATTATATATATAACAAATCCAACTGCGAGAGGAGCACCAGGTGAAGTTGTTCTTCACATAAACTTGGTAGGTAAGAAAAACCACTATTCAAATACATCTAGTAGTCAAGTTTAGTAGAATATTTTTTAGAATACAAAGCAATTTCCACAGCAAAAGTAGTTTCAGAGACCACTGGCATTATAAGCAGTGACATTTGCAGAGATGATTTCTATAAATGACCATGGGATAGACTCGCAACCGATGTGGCATAAAATTTCTCACAGGCGTAATGGTTAATAAGGCGATAACCACTGTGCTTAAATTCCGTGTACACAAAGCTGTATCAAAATGCCATTGCTACCATGCTTTAGATGTCATTAACAATGGTCTGCCAACCACTTGCCACAGAAAAATAAATACTTAATTCAAGGAAATAGTGTTTAGAAACAAGACAGAGCAGTGGAGAAATGCTCATTTTCATTTAAATGGAACCGTAAACACCGGTAACTTCTACATCCAGGCCAAAAAAGTCTGAATAAAACCAAGTACTTTACAATTGCCAAAAGTTACCATACAGTGCGAATTACAGCAACCTATATCACTGATCCGTTCTCAAAGAAAATTTCAATCTATTGTACTACCAGGGCTGTCGAGAGCTTGTGCTGGATCTAGGGCCCAGCAAGCCTTTCTTTGCCATTTTTCAAACAAACAAAATACATAGAATAAGACTGTAGTACCTTGACTTAAACCTCGATCGTGCACCATCTGATCATTACTCTTGCAGATCAGTTCAAGTGCATGGATTTCCAGACTAGCTTTCCAGCTTCAGCAAATCTGAGATTCTATTTATGAAAAACACCAGAACATACTACTTTCTCACAGCGCTAAATTCTCCCTGGTGACAAAATTTGAAATTTTTTTCAAAACAAAAGGGAGCAGTTTTTGTGTGGTGCATAAACCAAACTCAAGTTAATAGGCAAAGTGTCTTATAGGGCAGTCATAAATATCTCAGTAAAAACTTTTCTAATAAATAATAAAATATGAATGTGCATATTGTCAACCAATGTTTCAAAATATTAAAAACTAAATAATTTAAAACAACAGTCTTTAATATTCAAGTTTCCTTACAAACCGTACGGGAATGTGAAAAGTGTAGTCTGCAACAAGTAACGTTCATGCATATTACAATCACTCTCGACACAAAGTCTAACGTGACGTGCGTCTCCTCTCCAGAAGCTGTAAAAAAAGAACAGCATCATCAGTAACATTAGCATCTTTGTCTTTTAGTTAGAAACGATAACAATTACTTCTTTATCCGATGAAGTTCATGACCACTAGATGAAGTATGATGTGTGCAAATATGAAGTCTGCAAATGCCCTCTCTGTATTGATTCCAGAGAACTGGCTCTTGTTCTGGATGTTTACCTGAAGTCGCAGACACACTGAAAAAAAGCAATTCGGCATCGTTAAGATATACTCTAAAGACCAGCTGCAACGGTCGCGACTTAGCTATGGAAATTAAAAATGGCTCGTGTTTAATTTTCAAGCTAATTTCTCGGACAGTTTCGGAGTAATATTTAAACTTTGGACCTAAAGAAACCTTACGGCAAGAACACTTGCAGGTATACATATTTATTTCGTATCGTCCGATATGAAATAACTGTGTTGGTGCACGAATAAGAGGCACAATCAAAAAGTATCAGAAAAGAGCAACATAATTATGGAGCCTGAAAACTAGGTAGAAAGTGACCTTTGTAGCATATTCTGCATGAGCTACAAGTAACATCTCCCCCATTTGTTTTGGTTTATACCATTCCTGCTTATATATGAACATCGCACATTGCATTAGTTGGCAAATTTTTCAACATCCTGTGCATTTCTATGAGGAGGATTGTATGAGTTAGACACAACTATGCGACCAGTTTAAACGTTTTAAAGATGGCCACGAAAGTGTCGAGAGTAATGAACAGTTGGGAGGGCCCACAACGAGCAAAACTGAAAAAGTGTCAAACGTGTGTCATACCAGGACACACACTGACATTACACAAAAAATATTGCTGTTAATTTTTTCAGCAGTTAAGGGATACAATCAGTCACAAATGGCAGGCATTGCACAGAAGTGGCATCTAGCATCTCCATCACGACAATTTGCATGCCCATGAAACCAATACATTTGACAAGAAATTGCCAAATGCCACATTCCACAGGTCCAGCAGATACCCATTCTTTAGACCTAGCAACCATGACTTTTATTTGCCACAAAATAAAAATCTAGTAAAAAAAAAAAAAACATTTTGAGATGTTTGAGAGATACAATAGAATAAGACAAGGTGGACTGAATTCAGAAATCTGCCCTGCCTAGAGCCTAGAGCATATGAATTTGAGGGCTAGCAAAATTTACAGGTATACACAGTAGTATATGAATGGTGACCAGATGGCCAAGCAATTAAGATATCAGCCTAAATCATTAAATTATTCTATCTTGAAGCAATTGCCATAAAATATATAGCGTAGTTTGGAAGACATGTGGCAATAGATCAGATACAGACAGTACAATATATATCAAAAGTGCCAATAGAATATGCTAAATAAACATGTCTTGCATAGTACTTCTAAAGCAGTTTACTGCAACAGGCACACTTTGCAATAAACTGCTTTAAAAGTACTATCTGGCAACAGCATTGTGAAATGAGAAGCAAACACATGCAAGCGAGTGGAAGTGTCACATTTGCATCTATAAATTTTCACGCTTCATGTTTATAAACATCCGTAACTAAAAGACTTTTTTTCATATTCATAAATGTGAATACAAATATAATTCATAACTTATAGAAAGGCAATTTTAGGGTGCCTTTACTTAAAATTACTTTATGTTGTTACAAGTTTCATCTTCAAAGGAAACAAATACTGTTGTTTCACCGCATATAAATGCCATTTCTATACAAACCAAAAACATTTAGTCAGAGATAATGCAGTATTGTAACTGATCCTATAGTTATAATATAGAAAGTATTCTATGACGTCCTTTATTTTCCTGTCTAACAATAATAGAAAGTCTTAAATTTTGCTTGTAACGATTCCAAACTTCTCTAAATTAACTTCTGTAGTGGTGCACTTAAAACAGGGACCATTCTTGTTAAGAACTTAGGGACTTTGAGTAACGCATCTCAAGTTATGCGGCTTTATCCTCAAATCAATTGTGCATGGAGAATTTTGTGACCACTCTATCTATAGAGGCGGTTCTCGACATTATCAATTCACAGCCCTCTTAAACTAAATCATAGACGAACTACGGTCAACCGATACCTCTTCTCATCCCGTAAATATCATCTTAGATAATGACAAATCCAAGTCCCAAAATATTTTGTCTATCCAGTAACCTAATGTAAATGATCATGGTGCACGAAAATATTCTTTTGTACAGATAAATTTGTAGTATTGCATATTGGAAAAACAACTACATCAGTGTGCAGACCATTCAACACATGCTAGTGGAAACAAATGCAGTTCTGAACAATCGTTGGGATCTTATTAGTGCTGTAAGCATGCCAATAAGAATGAAAAAGTCAAAGTTTTTGCGACATAACCAGCCATGCTGTTTGTTGAACACAACAGTGTTAACAGATTGCACAGCATGAGTTCTGGGACACAGTCAAGCTGCACAGACTCATGTTTTGAGAAATAGTTCTGAATGTTTTCAAATTTAAATTTTACCCCATTTTTGAGGGTCTTCAAAATTCCAGAGAGGCCAATTTCCGGGACTCTATCTCACAAAAGGTCGCTGATAGACCATCGGTTTCTTTGACTCTTTTACTCCTGTCAGCACAATTTATGGCTCTGATAAAGTCCCGGCCACCTCATTCAGAGCTGCATTTGTATCTTGTTTAGTTCGGGAAATGCAACACTTGGGCGATCTGCCTTCCGGGAGGTCTTTTTAAGGGGAACTGGCCCCTATTTAGGTGTTACAGATGTGGAAAAAGCCCAGAAAACTCCACATGGCCAGCCCATCCAAGTGAGATGCGAACCCGAACTCCCAGCATTCAGGGAACGAAGACCACTTGGCCACTGGTGGGCTGCATTTGAATCTGCTTGTGAACATTGTGAACTACTGTTCCAGAATGAGTTTTATTATTTCTATTCTGCACTATGCTGTTTGTTATAGAGCTGTTCATATACTATTTAAGACGAATGCAAACAGTTCAGCTAAGTAACACCAGGGGGTACAAGTGCCATATTATTAAACTTCAACTCGTCCTGCATAAAAAGCGCACAAAATAAAGGAAAAAAATGTCTTTTAATGGTTGAGTAATAAATTACAGTAATTATAACGNCTTACCTAACCTATTCTAATAAATTACCACAATTATTACCGATTAAATTATTAGAATAGGTTAAGTTAGGTTAGAACGTGCGTCCCCACTGTTTCCTTTTCTTTTCTGGAATCAGAGATGAGCCGCCATGACAGTCTACGTATATGGACGTTAACCTGCGTGTTGGTTTTCCCCGTTTATCGCGGCGCAGCAGCCGCCGCTGTTCGCTCGCGTTGTCACATGACATGTCGTCTCCAAACTGCTCTGGTGTCGAGGCTGGCAGTCGGAAAACAGGAAATTCCGCCATGACAGTCCACGTATCTGGACATTAACCTTGTGAACATAGTGCACTACTGTTCCAGAATGAGTTTTATTATTTCTATCCTGTACTATGCTGTTTGTTATAGAGATGTTCATATACTATTTCAGACGAATGCAAACAGTTCAGCTAAGTAACACCAGGGGGTACAAGTGCCATATTATTAAACTTCAACTCGTCCTGCATAAAAAGCGCACAAAATAAAGGAAAAAAATGTCTTTTAATGGTTGAGTAATAAATTACAGTAATTATAACGATTATCTGCATGTAATTCCGTATAAAGAATAAGATACATACATTAATTTAATATAATTATCGACTCTTACCTGCCAAGACGAAGGAAGCAACACACGAAATGAAACCGGCTAAGAAGGAATTAAACGGGAAAGTTCCCACTAAACAACAATATACGAACTGTATGATGCCGGTTAGCATTATATAAATCAAATACGCATCGATTATTTTTAATTTTTGCGGCGTTGTCGACTTGTAGTCGTTTAAAAACTTCGATACCACGTCCAACACTGACACCGCCATCTTGGAATAAACAAATACGTGTCACGTCGTCGTTATAGTGATAATAGCGCCACCTGCCCGATATTAAAAATATAAATAATAATTTTTAAATATAAATAAAATTATTTTAAAATATAGAT